AGTTCCAAACTTGGTTTAATGAGTATATACCGCCTAGTTTGAGGGGGAGTGTAGGAATTCAAACTAGCTACATATGGGAATCTCCAGTTTACTATAATTATGGGTTCATATTTTTAGAGATATTAATCTTCTGTATATAGCTGTAATTTACTTCCCTTAAATAATGTAAATTAGTTCCTAGAAATCAGGATCTTCTCCACAGATCTTTTTATATATATATATACCTGTATTGTACCTAATGAATAAGAAGAGAAAATTACTCCCATTCTATTCTACTACAATAACTATGGTGTGTTCAGAATTGGGCCGATTGAGTTTCAATTATCTTGTCCAGTTTCTCCTTGTTTCTTTTTGTTGGGAAATGTAGATTATAAACTGATTATAATAATTACATTTCAGACATGAACTTCAGCTTAATATGGTACATGTATATATGAAAGTGTTGTAAATGGTGTATATTTTAACGAATAGAAACTGTAGAAAGAGAAGCTATCTGGAAAATTCCCACTACCTAGAATGCAATCTTACAATTCCAAATTTGACAAAATTCTCTCCTATTGATTTGTTTGTAATTTCTGAATAATGTGGTGTTGGATTCATGTACATATTGTGTTAGACACCACCGCCAGACATTTGACAAATTTTATATATGCTATTGAAACAACATAACTACAAACAGGAAGATGAATTCAGAAGAAAATAAATGACCATCTATGCCTCGATACTAAAGGGTTTGGCTACTGCACCTTGTTGGAGAGAATTTCCTCATCTTGATTATTTTCTTATCAAAATCCAAGATTTTTGTTTGTGTAAAGTTGATGAAAGCTAAGAAAATCTTTCCTTGTTGAAAGTTATTCTGAAGCTTAATAGGATTTTTGGTGAGTTAATATCAGTATACAATGTAGAAAATTGTTTATCTTATGATGACTCAAATCCTGTATTGTTCTCATTCGTTCTTAACAATTCAGGTTTGACTTTCCTTGGACTCCAACAAGATATATTCCATTTTACGGTGGTCCAGATTACCATGATTATCATCATTATGTTGGCGGACAAAGCCAGAGTAATTTTGCTTCAGTATTCACCTATTGCGATTACTTATATGGAACTGACAAGGTGATTATATGAATATATCATTTATATGATTAGAAGGTACAGTTGTCTTCTAAGCGATTGTAGCTTGATGTAATATTTCTCTTTTGCTTATATCTCCCAGGGATACCGATATCAAAAGAAAGTCCTCCAGCAGGTAAATAACTTTGCCCTCGTCTAAGGGCTTATTTTTGTTATTTCTATGCATTTAACGAATGTGAGGGATTCACTGGTCAGATGGGATTTCATAATATTGATTATGAATCCTGCGGGCAAAGTCTAGTGGTCTTGGTGATTGTCGAGTTCGAAAATCTCTAGATGTTTTTAGACCGCTAAAACTTTTATACTCGTTTTTGCCGTGCATTTTGGCCAATGAAAATAAACTCACGTGTAAGTTTTGGCTACAACCTCTGCCTTTGCAAGAAAATTAATTGATTTTAACAAATAGCAAGTTTCTTGATAGGTAGAGCTATTTAAAGCCATTTAGCATGGCTTTTGAAAAGCCAAAAGCTACTTTTGAGGTTAAAAAGTTGCTTTTGAGTTTGTTTTGATAATTTTCTGGAAGTGGTTTGTTTGATTAGAAATGTTTTTAGAGAAAGTTGAACCAAGGTGACTTTCTCATAAACTCTTCTACAAAAGGCAGAAGCTATGCCAAACAAACTTTCACCAAAAAAAGCCACTTTTTCTTCACAAATTTTGAATTATACATTTTGCAAATTTCAATTCTTTTAGTAAACTTCTTGTTGATCTGGTACAGTTGCGGGAGGGACTGAAAAGCAATGGTGAGCAAAAAGGAGATTTGCAAGACATATCTGCACAAGATGTTAAAGTCGACTAGTTTTGAAATATTTGAAACTGTCTCTATGTAATGTCCTCTGAAATGCTTCTTATTGGAAACAACTAGTTGAAGCCTTAGGTTTGATCGTTGAAGTTGACATAGATTAGTATTTGGTTTTGATGGGCTTTAACTGGAAGTCTGTTAGTATCGTGCTTTGCTGTATTTGTGGTGCAGGCTCATTGTTACAGTTTGGGACTTGTACTTGATCAGTAAATCAGTTTCATATTGCATTTGATTAGTAGCCGATAACTGTCATGGTAGCATGAAATGAGCAGAGCGGCCGCGGCCTGAGGCCTATGCCCGCCAACTTTTTTGGCTCGTTTGATGCTTTTATTTGCGGTCGAAATCCATGTTTTTGGTTACTTCAATTTGACTTTGGTTATTTAGAGATTGTTAATGGTGAGTAAAGGTAGCATTTCTCTAAAATTCGAACCAGTTTGATTCTAAAATAACACGTGATTTGCTGAAGAGAACAAATTTGGAAGCCAAGCCCATACACTGATTGAAGTCCCCCAAAAAAAAAAAAAAAAAAAAAAAAAAAAAAGGTTGAACCCCAACCTCAAGAACCCTCACCGTCCCGCCCCTAGAGTTTTGTGAGAGAAGTAAATTGCGGGATGTGCCCCAGATTGAAGTCCATTTATTTATTTTGACATTTAGACATGCAGTACTGGCATGCGGGAAGAAATTCCTAATTTGCTAAAAAAGAGCCTTATATTTTTAGAAAAGTAGCTTAATTTATTTTTAGATGCGTTGGACCTAGCCCACATGGCTATACAATTCTAGGCGACTCGATACATTTTGGTATCTCTATTTAAAGAATTCACTTTTAGCCTCAGAGCATCTTCAACAAATTATTTAAATTTGCATAATAAAGAGCATTTTTAAAGAGTAATCTTTTTTACGCACTACAATAATGATTAAATTCTATCTTAGTTCTTTATTTTATTTATTTCAAAAATATTTATTGTTTTTTCTCACTTCAATTAATATTTATCTACTTTTTTTATGTCAATGACTAATAAAATCAAACCCTGTTTGGTTTAAATAAAAGTAAAAATTTTAATAGTTTTGATAAATGTTGATAGAATGCGTCGTAAAAAAGAAGTGAATTTTATGAACCGTGAAATTAAAATTTAAGAATAATGTTTTTTGTAAATCATCATTTACANTCACGCACGACTCCATGCCTACACAGTCCAAGTCGTCGTCGCCTCAGAAAATTTGTTACATTTGTTAGCCATTCTATTACTGCCGATCATGTAAAAACAGAGTTCGATATTTTTCTAGACGTGCCAGTATTGCCAAGGATGAATGGTTTTGATTCGTTGACATGGTGGAAAGCAAAATTCAATAAAATATCCGACTTTACAGAAGGTTGCAAGAGATTTATTAGTCATTCCAGTAGCTACTGTGGCATCCAAGTCAGCGTTTAGTACAAGTGGTAGATTTGTAAGTCCATATAGAAATAGGCTTCACCCGAAAACTTTAGAAGCTTTCATGTATGCTTGGGATTGGCTTTGGACTGATATTCATGGTATGATTTATTGTTTTATATTTGTTATTTATAGACTTCCTTTTATTGTTAATTTTTTCTATTGTGTATAGAAAATTCTACTCCTTCATCATACTCTATAGCTTGTGCAACATTTAACGAGAAGGAAGCTGACGAAGAGGTACATTTTTTTAAATTTAAATCTTAGTTAAGACCATTTTGAAATAGGCAGTATCGTTGTATTTTCTACTTACATTTCTTATTTACTATATAGGAATCAATTTTGAATGCTGATCAATGCTAGTAAGACTTGTAGGGAAGAATGAATCAAGTAACTTCAATACACAACAATTAAGAATGAAGGAAAAGTTTAGTATTATTATATTTATAATATTGTTTGTTAAATTTGTATTTTACAATTGAAAATTAGGATAATGTTTGAATTTACGTTTGGAATATTGTTTGATAATGTTTGCATTTTCGTTTGGAATATTATGTTTTTGTTTTCATTGACTTTTTTCATGAACTGTTTTATATCAATTTGACGGACGAACCTATAAAAAATAATTTATTTTCATGATTATTAACTGAACCAAACCGTGCCGAACCGAAATACAAACCGAACTGATTTACGTGGTTATAGTGCGGTTATGGTATGGTCAAAAAATTGGTGGTGCGGTTATAGTTTTGGCCGAATCGACCCATAACCAAATCGTTGCCAACCCTGCCTATCCAATTATGAAATCAACTCATTCTTACACAATGCTCAACTTAATTCACGTGCTCAATATATATCAAATTTCACATGAAAATGTAAAAATTAACTTAAGATTGCAATTTATTTACCATCTATGTATCAATTCATAATTTAATATATTTATCATTACCAACCAGGCTAACCAACTCACACAAACACATAAAAAGAAAATATTTTTAAATTTTTTTAATATGTAAAGAAATAAAAACACACAAAATAAAGGAAAACTCATGTTTTTCACCCCTGAACTTAAATTAGACATTGTTCTCAATGTCTTAAATTCTAAATCCACATATAACGGAGTGGGGAAGAAAAAGAAAAAAATATTCCTTTGATATGGTGTGAAATTACTTGGCTAACTTTTCCTATTGCTCCTATTGTCTACTTGGTCAATATTGGTTTAAGTTTTCGTGATTTCATGTTCTTATATAATGCACTTAAATAAAACATTAAAGATCAAATATCTGAAGCGCGTGCTATTTAGCTCAAACATTTAATAAACCAATTAAATATCGATGACCTAAGGGGAAAAAACAAATAGATTATGATGAATCCCTAATTAAAAACAATAATCAATCTAAATTATCATATGACTAGAAAGCATAATAAATAAAAGGGAAGAAAGATTGGTTTGCCTCTCAATAAACGCTTTGTTTAAAGTCGTTAGCTTCTCTTTATTGTTTTGACATCATGAAATTCTAAAGAACGTTTTTGATACCTTGCTCAATTTGCCTCTTTTGACTTTGCTCTACTATTTGTCGCTTCTAAAAATTTGAACATTGCCTCCTCCAATGTGATATGACTTGTCTATTTCATTCAATTTAGATTCAGCTATGTAGACTACTTCATTCTCTTGGGGCTTAAATACAAATTCAATAGGCAATCAACGAAGTCTATAGAATGTGGGTTAACGTTTTCTTCATTAATTACCTCCCCCTTTTTTTGTTTATTTGTAATTGAACTTTCATCTTTTTATTATCGTCTTCTATAATTGAATCTCATCGGGTTAAATGACTGGTTTACAATCTCACCCACGTGCAATGAAAACTTTTTTCTTTCAAATTTTTTCTAGTGGATTATATCCCCTACCTTTTAAATTCATACCGAAATATGCCATCTCCCACATACAGTTTGTTTTCATCAAACTTGGCAAGATCAGTGTAATATTTTGCAAGTACCTTCTCGTTTAACATGGACGGACCAGATCCCCACAAGAATGTCGGAAGGGATACACTCTCCCACTGGCATGTAGTATTCAAAAGATGTGTCAATTGCTAGTCTTCGACGTCTTAAACATTGCTTAAACTGTAGGAGCTTAAGCTGATAAGGATTAGTGTATGTATTTAAGCAGTAACCAATACAATGCACCCCATAGCAGAACTCACAATAGATATCTTCTTCATTATAGTTCATGTCAAGATTATTGCAAAAATCTTTTTACCATGCCAGATTCAGAATCCTAGATGTACTGATAAATGGCACTTGGAAAAATACCAAACAAGAGATATCAGGGTGCGTAGCCAAAATAACAAAAATAAAAATTGAATCTAATATAAGCTACTAAATTAAAATTAAAATTAAATCTGTTATTTCCCGACAACAACGTTAAAAACTTGTTTGTAGAAATCCGTAAGCATTGGGATCATTGCACAAGTAATAAGATTTGTGAGTTAAAAGTATCATTCCCACGAGGGATAAAGTTTTGTGTCTAGTTCAATAACTTTTATTAAATTTGAAATAATATAAAATCAAAAAAGTTGGTTTTTTTGTGTTCCATACTAATCATGTCTAAGAAAGCAAATAAAATATTTATCTAATATATGAATGTTTGTATTGAAATTGTGAATCCACCTATTACTATTTAAATCAACCCTTAATTCATAATTTAATGAATTCATGTATTCAAGACAATCGATAAACCATTTTTATTTAATATTCTTTGTCAAGATCTATTAAACCTATGTTTAACACGATCCGATTTTATTCTTAATCCGAATTCATATGAAAAATATGCATTGATTCACATGATTTATCATACATAATTGCACATGTCATAGATATTATTCCTACTACCTATTGTCTAAATGTTGATTTTGTTGCGTTCTAGATTGATTGTGATTATTTCTATACTACAACAAGTAACTTACTATCTAATTGGTGATCAAGTAATCAAATAGTTCAATGTCATTCATACATTACAATGAAAAACTTATCCTAACATTCTTATAATTAAATTACACAAGAATAATTGGAAAAACATCACCTGAAAACAAGAAATATGGAAGAAGTAGGAGAAATCCACATTCTTGGCTCAAATCTTGAAATCGGGCTATGAATTTTCAAAATCCTTGTATGATTCACCTTAAATTGATGTATAAACTTATTTTTCACCTCCAAAATATGTAGAATATGATGAAAATTAGATTGAATGGATGTTCCCACGTTCTGGTTGAGTTTTGGTATTTAAAGGATGTCCAGAAGGTTGCTTACCAACATAAAATAAGGAAACTTAAATTTTTTTCGTTGTTTACACTAAGGCACGCGCCTAGGAGCCTTGGGTGCCTCAGTTGCTCATTTTTTGTTTGGAGGCGCACGCCTCTCCTGTAGGCCAGGCCCGGGGCCTTACCTAATTTTTGATAACCAAATAACTTTCAGTATTTTTATCCTAACTTTCTCTTTCGATATCCGATTGAGAAGATTCAAATTGCATTGGAAACCTTACTCAGAGGGCTACAATTCTTCTGGAGATATCATTTTTCCAATTCAAATATTGCTGTACCAAAATTGGATCTCAATACGAGGCTGAAAATTCGAAGCAACCACTGAAAGTTAATGTATGATAATATTTTTACTATAATTCATCCCTTTGACTCATTTCCTCATCCAATTGACCTCGAGCAGTCTCAAATCTTTATCGTAGGGTCCGAAATAACTTTTTAGTAGTTTCATTTTAGTCCTAAACTTTGGATTCACTTTATTTTAGCCATTTTCC